AGATGTTGGGGGCGCCACACCCTCCCAGGTCCTAGGCCGCTGCCCCAGCCCCAGACTGGGCAGGCGCGGGCCTCTGGTCAGCAGCACAGCCGCTGTGCCTCCTGGCTGACCCGGCTTTCCCCCCATCCCACACTTGGGGGGCTCAGGACCCCAGGGAGGCAAGTGGGCCTGCGGGCCTAGGGAGGGAGGGAGGGAGAGCAGCAGGGATGCCCTCTCTTCTGCCCCAGACCACCCCTCAGCTTCAGGGGCCCTCCCAGAAGTCACCCTGCCTGGGGGCTGCTTCTGAAGAGGCTCGGAGAAGAGCAGTCATTTGTCGCCCACCCTCCCAGGAATGTGTCCCCACACTTACCGAGGCAGGAATTAGCTGGCAGGAGACTGGGGTGTGGGCCCCAGGGAAGCAGCTGGGGCTGGGAGAAGCTCCACCACTCCTGGCCCTGTGGTCTTGGCAAATCCCTGCATCTCTCTGAGCCTCAGCGTTCCTCATCTGCAGAATGGGTCTCCAAGTCGTTCCCCCCCCCCCCCCCCAGTCTAAATTGGATTGATGGAGTGCTGCATTTAATGGGAATTTGACATACGGACATTGGAAAGAGGAGGATAGAAAAGTCTGCAACATTTGAGAGGCTGTGAACTCCACTTTTTAAAAAAATTGTCAAGATGGCTCAGCGTTGGGCTGCGGTTCGGGTGAACTGTTCATGCGGTGGCCGCATGGTGGCGCCCTGGGAGCTGATGAATAGGCGCCCAGGGCGGCAGGCAGGCCAGAGGCGCAAGGGCCCTGACTGCAGTTCCAAGTAGAATCTTTTGTGAGTTTGTTAAGTGGAGGTTCTTGTTAGTCTCCGCCCCACCCTGGCTCCGTCCTGCACCTGTCGCTGCCAAACCAGTTGTCTTAGAACAGCAGGTGGAGGTGATAAAATGCTCTGAAGAAAGCAGAACAACTGCTGGATACTTAATCACATTAGTTTACGAGGCAGGAGGCTTTGGAATATTGGCGATGATGCTAAGATAGAAAAATGTCTTTACATCATAGATATACAAAGGATCATACTACAATATTATGAAAGACTATATGCCACCAAATTCAATAACCTAGAAGAAATGGATTGGCTCCTAAAAATATCTAACCTTCCTAGACTAAAACATGAAGAATTGGAAAATCTAAATAGACTGATCAGCAGTGAGGAAATTGAAACAACCATCCAAAACCTCCCCAAAAATAAAAATCCAGGACCAGATGGCTTCACTAGTGAAATCTACCAAATTTCAAAGAAGATTTAAAACCTATTCTTCTCAAACTCTTACAGAAAATTGAAGAAGAGACACTACTTCCTAACAAATTCTATGAAGCCAGTATATCCCTGATACAAAACCTGGCAAAGATAACACGAAAGAAGAAAACTATAGACCAATATCTCTGATGAATACAAATGCAAAAATCCTAAACAAAATACTAGCAAATCAAATACAACAGTACATCCAAAAAATAATACATCACGATCGAGTGGGGTTTATTCCAGGGGCACAAGGATGGTTCAACATACGAAAATCAATCAATGTAATAGGCCACATTAACAAAAGAAAGGATAAAAATGATATGCTCTTATAATAGATGCAGAAAAAGCATTTGATAAGATACAACATCCATTTATGATGAAAACACTCGCTAAAATAGTAATAGGAGGAAAGTACCTCAACATAATAAAGGCCATATATGATAAACTCTCAGCTAATATACTCAGTGATGAAAAACAACATTTTCCCTCTAAGATCAGAAATAAAACAAGGATGTCCACTCATCACTCTAATTCAACATAGTGCTGGAAGTCCTAGACAGAGGAATAAGGCAAGAGAAAGAAATAAAAGGCATCCAAATAGGGAAGTAAGATGTCAAACTGTCACTTTTTGAAGGTGACATAATTTTGTATATAGAAAACCCTAAAGACTCCACTAGAAAACTATTAGAAACAATAAACAAATATAGTCAAGTTGCAGGATACAAAATCAGTTTGCAAAAATCTATTGCCTTCTGAATACTAACAACAAAATTTCAGGAAAAAAATTTCCTTTTGAAATTGTAACCAAAAGAATAAAATGCCTAGGAATAAATTTAACAAAGAATGTGAAAGACCTATATACTGAAAATTACAAAGCATTATTAAAAGAAATTGAAAAAGACACAACAAAATGGAAAAATATCTTGTGTTCATGGATTGGAAGAATCAACATAGTTAAAATAGCCGTATTACGCAAAGCAATATACAGGTTTAAAGCAATCCCCATCAAAACCCCAATGTCATTTTTAAAAGAAATAGAATGAGAAATCATCAGATTTGTATGGAACCACAAAAGATCCGGAATAGCCAAAGTAATCCTGAGAAAAAAAGAACAAAACTAGAGGTATCAAGCTACCTGACTTCAAATTATACTACAGAGCCACGATAATCAAAACAGAATGGTATTGGCAGAGAAACAGACACAGATCAGTGGAACAGAATAGAGAGCTCAGCTTTAAAACCAAATGTACTAGTACATGGAGAGATAATTTTCATATATATATTATTGATTTTAGAGAGGAAGGGAGAGGGAGAGAGAGAGATAGAAACATCAATGATGAGAGAGAATAATTGATCGGCTGCATCCTACATGCCCCACACTGAGGATCGAGCCCACAACTCAGGCATGTGCCCTGTCCGGGAATTGAACCATGACCTCCTGGTTCATAGGTCGACATTCAACCACTGAGTCACTCCAGCTGGTCTGGACAGATAATTTTCGACAAAGGAGCCAGACACACACAATGGAGTAAAGATAGTCTCTTTAGTAAATGGAGCTGGGAAAACAGGAAAGCCACATACAAAGGAATGAAACTGGATTGCAATTTGTCCCCATGTACAAAAATTAATTCGAAATGGACCAAAGACCTAAATAGAAGACCCATACAATAAGTGACATAGAAGAAAATATAGATACCAAACTTATGGACCTTGGTCGTAGAGAACATTTTATGAACTTGACCCCAGAGGCAAAGGAAGCAAAGGCAAAAATAAATGAATGGGACTAAAACTAAAAAGCTGCTGCACAGCAGAAGAAACTGACACCAAAACAAAGAGGCAGCCAACCAGATGGGAGATGATATTTGCAAACAGTAGCTCTAACAAAGGTTTAATTTCCAAAATATATAAAGAACTCATAACACTCAACACCAAACAAGCAACCAAGCCAATCACAAAGGGGCAGAGGACCTGAAAACACTCTTCTCCCAGTAAGACAGATGAAGAGCCAACAGATACATTGGAAAGATGTTCAGCCCCACTGGCAATCGGGGAAATGCAAATCAAAACTACAGTGAGATACCACCTCACACCTGTTAGAGTGGCCATTATCAACAAAGACAAGCCATAACAAGTGTCAGGGAAGTTTGGGAAAAAAGGGAACCCTATCCACTGCTGGTGGGCAGGTAGACTGGTATAATCGCTATGGAAAGCAGTCTGGCGATGCCTCAAACAATTAAGAATAGAGCTACCATATGACCCAGCGATCCCTCTCCTGGGGATATACCCCCAAACCTCAAAAAACATGTCTTCACGAACATATATGCACCCCTATATTTCATGGAAGCAGTATTTACGGTGGCCAAAGACACGGGAAACCACCGAAGTGCTCTGCAGTAGAGGACTGGATACAGAAGCTGTGATACAGGCACACAGTGGAATACGACTCAGCCATGAGAAAGGATGAAACAGCGCCATTTGCAACAACAGGGATGGGCCTTGAGAATGTTATGCTAAGTGAAAGAAGTCAGACAGAAAAAGCTAAGAACCATGTGACTTCACTCATATGTGGGATATAAAACTGAAACTCGTGAACACAAACAGCAGTGTGGTGGTTGCCAGAGGGAAGGGGTGGGGGGAGAAGGGGGTCCTAATAGATGGTGACTTTGGGTGGTGGGCACACGGTGCAATATACAGACCTTATAACATAGAAACCCACACCTGAAACCTGTATGTTCATGTTGACCAATGGCACCCCAATCAATTTAATATAAAAAAATAAAGGGAAACAAGGATCTAAATAAATGAGTAAATAAATGAATGAATGAATAAGTAAGTAAATAAATAAATAAATAAATCAGACTGCTGATAGCTCTGCTACGCTCTTGCACCCTACAATTAGTTATGGGAATAAAAAGCCGAGCCTTGACCCCCCTCTCCCCAATGTCTAAGCTAACCTGCACAATGGTTCTGGCTTTATGGTCTCCAAGAACTTTCACTGCCAGCAACACAGCTTCTACTCCAGGGCAATAGGCTGGGACTTTGTGAACTTGAATTGTGTGCTGTCTTCAGAAGCAAGAATGGCTCCAGGTTGATGGACATCCCTGATGCCCCTTGGGTGCCCTTGGCTGGGCGCAGGCCCTTCCCTCAGCTTGTCGCTCTCTAGGGGACCAGTCTGACCAGGGATCATCACACCTCCCCGGGCCCCGCAGCAATGGGCGTGGGGTGAGTGTGGGAGGGGGACTCTCCACGAGGAGGCGCTATCAGGCAAGGCTGTGGGAGGTGTGGGTAGGTCCTGCGCAGACAGACATTTTCCTGGTGGAATCCGAGGGCCCCAGGTCTCCCTGCAGCAGCCCCCAACTCCACAGCTCGGGCTGCTCAGCTGGGCACCTTGTCCCACACCAGTGATGGCGAACCTATGACACGCGTGTCAGAGGTGACACGCAAACTCATTTTTTTGGTTGATTTTTCTTTGTTAAATGGCATTTAAATATATAAAATAAATATCAAAAATATAAACCTTTGTTTTACTATGGTTGCAAATATCAAAAATTTCTATATGTGACACGGCACCAGAGTTAAGTTAGGGTTTTTCAAAATGCTGACACGCTGAGCTCAAAAGGTTCGCCATCACTGTCCCACACGGCCTTCCCTGAGCCCCTGCCCTCTGACTCCCTGCGGAGGCCTGCCCAGTGCTCCTGTGCCCACCAGCCTGACAGGCGCCCACTCTTGCAGGTGGTGAGAAGCTACAAGGCGACCATCCAGCAGACCTTGGACATCCTCTTCCTCCAGGAAGGCTCTGAGTTTCTGAGCAGCACAGATGCTTCGAGCCGGGACTCTGCCGATCGTACCATCATCGCCTGGGATTTCCGGAGCTCCGCCAAAATCTCCAACCAGATCTTCCATGTGAGAAACCCTATTGGCGTTGCTTTCTGCTTCAGCCCCGTGTAGCCCTCGGTTGTCTGGGGTCCCAGATCACTTCCTGTGGGAGACGGTTCAGTAGGCAGGATCTTTGCAGACAGATTGGCTGCCTGAAATTTCTCGGGCAGGGGAAGGCGAGTGTAAGTCCACTGGCTCCATATGACAGTATCTCCCTAACTGTCCTCCCACTCGTCCCCGCTCTGTATAGCCACCCCACAGGGTGAGGGTGTGGAAGGGCAGCCAGTACAGATGGACTGGTAGACGGCCGAGCAGCTCGAGATACCCCTACCCTTTCTCGGCCACCCCAGCCAGCCATGGAACTCCGTCCCCCTTTGCTGAGTGGCTTTGGCAGGAGCTGTGACTCAGGAGTTCAAGCAGAGAAACTCGAGTTAGACCACCTGAATGATGGTCCTGGATCCACCACCGACAAACGGGGGCCTGGGCCCATTACTTAGCCGTTTGGATTCTCATTGTCCTCTTAGCAAATTGAGGATGAGAATATTACTTGCCTCATAGAGTGGTTTTGAGAATTTAAAGAACACTTATTAAGGGTCTAGACATGACTGCGCACGTACAGGGACTGCTTCATAAATGCATTACCTAT